CCCCGCGCGCGCTCGCCCCGCCCCGCGCGCGCTCGCCCCGCCCCTTGAGCCGGGACTCGAGCGTCCGAGACGCTCCCACCCAGCCGTCAGAGGCTGAGGGAATTCGGCCGCGGCTGGCGCTCGCTTGCAGCGCCGGGAGATCTAGACGAACCCAGGGGGAGCGAAGGGGCACGTCCGCTGCCTAGCTCTTGCAGACGGGCGTCTCTGTCTCCTCTGCGCGTTCCCAGGACAATATAATACTGACCCTGGCAGTCTTAGGGCAGGTTTCCTGAGAGTGCTGCTGCACGCGGAGAAGCAGAGAGCCGCACATGAGCGTTCCCCCCCTCCGGCACGCTGCACGATAGTGCGGTCTCCGCCTCGCCGGGCGTAAGGCAAGCGAGAAGGGACGTACTTCTCCAGGCTCGCAAAGCGAGAAGGGGAGCATCTGGCCGTGGGTCACCGCCTTGGCGGTCGTGCGAGAGTCTTGCCCAGATCTCCCGAAAGGCGGAGAGCGAGCCCAAGGCCTACCAACCTTCTCCCGCCCGAAAACAGCAGAATGGGGGACTCGGAGCCACATGGAAGTGCGCTCTGACCATAACCACGAGATGGACGAGGAAGGGTTGGCCTCTTTGAGGACTCAGCAGCCACGAAGGCCTTCCCTGGTCGCAACCCTTCCTCAGGGAGACACGGAGCTTCCGAGTGTGGCCTCGGGGCGCTCCTGACCCTGCCGCGGGGCAAGGGCTCTGACTGTAACATTCAGGTTTGAAAGTCCCTTTGGAGCCTCGAAGTAGCGGCCTCCCACCGTCTCCTGAATCATCACGGCACCGGGGCGGGAGTCTTTCGATAAGCTGAGACGAACGGCCGCGCAGGAGAGTGCGGGCTTCCAGAAGCCGGCAGGGATAACTTGAAATATGGGCAGGTGTTGCTGGGCCTTGAAGATTAGAATCAGTCCATGAAAAGGAGAATGTACGAATCAGCTTAGAATACGGAAACAAGTGAGCTTTAAAGGAAAATATTCACTCTCGATACCCCTGTCCAGGAGGAAGAGTGCTGATCTGCTTCTTCCAGGCCGCTGGACTGGAGAATAGAAGCTGCCCGACCCCAGCCAAGCCAGTGTCTGTCCCCTCTCACTCCCCAGCACTTCTGCCTTGGTATGACCCCGATTGCTTTATTAAAAATAAAATAAAAAATAAAAAGAAGTAATGGAAGGAAATACACCAGAATGTTTAGAGTAGTTAACTACGGTAGTAGATATGTGGTTTTCATTTTCTACTTGAGACTTTTGTCTTTTTTCCACAGCTTTTCGAAAATTTCTGCAAGACATAGATTTTCATCATAACCAGAAAAAAAGAAAACTTAAACATGTAAATACGGCATATACCATGTGATCTCAATAATATAAACATGCATAGAAAAGACAGTAAGGAAATATGAACAACTGTTGACGGGTATGTAATTTTTGACAAGTTGAATATGGCTTATTCTGGTTTGCACTTTTTGGTATTTTCCACCTGACAGAGAAAATAAAACAGTATAAAATAACTTAAGTCATTTTGTTCAATAGTCAAGAGGTTCCAAAATGAGATGTTGAATTCAAAAGCCTTTAGGAACTATGAAGAAAGGTAATGCATTAGTGTTGTTATGAAGATAAGTTTCCCAATGTTACTGCAGATTAGATCGCTTTTGAGTGCATTATCAGTCCTTCTGTACATGAATCTGTTGCTCTATGGCAAAGGCAACTTGAAGATAAGCTGGTAAAGATTCCAGAACTACAAGTAAAAACTAGGCCCTGGAGTAGCAATAAAAATTCCAAACCCCGAGGCCCATCCAGCCTGTCCACAACATTCCTGTATTGATGACAGCAAAATAGACACTCATGAGAGGCATGACTTTTGTTTTTTCCATACCTAAGTGAAGAAAAGAGATTACCATACTGGTCTCTCTGGAGGTTAAATAGTAAGACTTGATGAATTAGTTAATAAAGCTAGATAGCCCACAGATTATGTGGAGATATGCTTTGACGTTTACATCTAAGTAGTTCATCTGTGCTAAAATCAATAAAATAGTTTTTCAAGCACAACTTATTGGCATTTTCCTATTTCTATTAAGAAATTCATGTAGTTTTCACGGCAATTTTCAAAAATGCCTAAATAAAGTTTTTGTTATAGTGTACTGTGGATTTTAATATACTAGAAAAATAAAAAAGACTTTCCTCTAGAGACTAACATTTGCATATTCCTTGAGATTACAAATGTTTTTCATGTATAGCAACTTATTTCCATTCTTATAACAATCCTCTGAGGAAGATAGAGAAGGTATTATTATCCTGTTTATAAATATGAGGAAAGTGAGGCACAAAGATGTTAAATGGGTATCACAATTCAGCAAATAAGAAGTTGGAAACAAACTCAGTTCTTCTGATCACCTCAGTACTCAAACATCCATTGATTGCCCAGTGATACAGAGATCATTGGTCTAATTTTTATACTTACCTGTTCTACATTTCAATAGATCTCTGTTATAGAAATCTCACAAAGAACATATGGTACTTATTTGCAATTCTGATTTTAGCCTTTGGGACAAGAACTGCAATATGAGTATTCACCTCATCCATTGAGAATACCTGCGGGGCAGAAGACAGATGCAAGTAAACTGTCCTTCCTCTCTATATAAAAGCCTAAAAGATCTGTTGCTAGAATGAAATAGAGTCTAAATTTCGCAGGGAGCCAAGAGGGATCATAAAATGTACATTATACAGATACTTTACCACAGGGATGGCCAGTTAGCTCAGTTGATTAGAGTGGTGCTGATAACACCAAGATCCAGAGTTCAATCTCTCTACCAGCCAGCCACCAAAAAAAAAAAAAATCTTACCATTAAAGTGACATGGAAAAAGGGCCGGCCCGGTGGCGCACTGGATAGTGCGCCGCTTCGGAAGCGCGGCGGCGCTCCCGCCCGAGGGTTCGGATCCCACATACAGACCGGTTCCCGCTCACTGGCTGAGCGAGGCACGGGAGCAACACCGAGGGTTGCAATCCCGTTGCCGGTCCCCGGTCCGGTACGGGGGCAACACTGAGGGTTGCGATCCGTTGCCGGACACGGAAAAAGACAAAAAGACAAAAAAAAAAAAAGTGACATGGAAATGAACAAAGAGCTAATGGGAATCCTAGGTGTTCATGAGATACAATAGTGACAAAATAGTTTACAGGTAATTACCATTTTCTACCACGCAATTATATCTAGTCAGCCTTGCAAGTATATAAAGAACATAAATATATAGCTTTTAAAAGTAATTTATTCTCAGAAAAATCTTTAAGTTGTATCTCTTAGGTTTAAGAAATCTTTGAAACAGTTTGATAAGCAATACATCTATTTTCCAGTATAATGTTATTTCATGATGTCTTCATCTATGAAGGTACTTCAAAAAGTTCATGGAAGAATATAATTAAAAGATAATGCAAATCTTTCCATGAACTTTTTTTTTTTTCCTTTTTATCTTTTTTACTGACCAGTAACGGGATCGCAACCCTCGGTGTGGCGCCCGTACCGGGGACTGGCAACGGGATCGCAACCCTCGGTGTTGCGCCCGCACCGTGCTCAGCCAGTGAGCGGGAACCAGTCTCCACATGGGATCCGAACCCTCGGCGGGAGCGTCGCCACACTCCCAAGCGGCGCACTCTCCAGTGCGCCACCGGGCCGGCCCTCCATGAACTTTTTGAAGTACGCTCATATTTTTGTTTTTGCCACCTCCTATAAAGTTATAAAAGTCAAATGTAAAGTGACTTATCAGCCGAGCCTCTGAATGTTGAATGTGATAAAAATCCCCTGAAGTAAACTTTAAATGAAACTTTTGTACATATAGAAATTCTCTCTCCATTTAAAAATTTCCCAATTTGTATCAGTTTGAGTTGTATTTTTAAATAGTTCCTGCCATATGCATACAAATATGTACTGACTATGGGTAGGACTCTTTTACTAAGATCCTACCAATATACTCTATATATGAATAACCTTTTAAATTATACATATAAAAGAGTGCATGCAAGTACGGCATTGTTATAAAGCATGACAACCATGAGTACTACACCCATGAACCCACCACCCAACTGAAAAACTGGACTGTGACTAATATCTTTGTGCCAGACTAGGTGTTCTTTCCCTATCCCATCTCCTGCCTGTCCTCCACAGGTAGCCCACTATCCTGAATTTTGTGTTTTATCATCTCCTTGTCTTTGAAAAAAAAAAACTTCATCATATATGTCTACATTCCTAGGTAATATGTTTTTTAATTTTGCTTGGTTTTGAACTTTATAAAAATTGTGATATAGTCCTCTAGTACTTGTTTTTCACTCACTATTGTATTTCTACATCCTCCCATGTTGTTACATAGCTGTAATTCAGTTATTTTCACTGCTACATAATATTCCATTGTGTGACTGTTTCATAATTCATGTATCCATCTCCTATGAATGTTTAAATTTCCAGTTTTTTGCTGTTGTGATCAATAGTTTCATGAATTATTTTTGTACTATCTTTTGATTCTCATATGCAAAAGTTTCTTCAGGGTATATACCTAGCAGTGAAATTGCTGGATAGTACAGAATGAAAATGTTCAACTTTATAATTTAGGGAAAATTTGTTTTTGAAAATACATTGTTCCCATTTACACTCCCACCAACAGTGTAATCAAAGCTTCTCAGTGTTAAGGGACCATATAAATTCTATCTTAGAAATGATTTTCAATATTAGTTCTTTTAGTAAATGGTTAGTAGTGATCATGACTATTAAACAATATTAAGTCTCAGTGCTTCTCAAAAAATCTTTCTAGATGCAAAATGTAACAATAAATATTCAGTTTTAAATGCATTTTAAATGAAAAATGAATGTTGTACAACTAAGGGCAGAAATTCATCATTTTAAATAAGTGTGATAGCATATCGGTTTGGACTTATTTTACTATCTCAGGTGTTCTGTCAAATGAACTGTGACAGCCATCAATTATGTTGGGGTGCAATATGATTTTATTTCACTGGCCTCCAAAAGCACAAGGTCATTTTCTGCATCTAAGTTTTTATGTTAATTACAGAGATATATCAAGGATACTTGATTTCTGAATAAAATTTTTAAATCATTGCAGCAATTCTGTTTATATGAACCATACTTTCCCTAAGAATCCTTCATCTAATTGCCCTAGGCTTCTCTCTAATAATCTCCCAACTGGCTTTCTAAATTCTAATGTTAATCTAAAGCATTTCCTAAATTTTTATATCCTAATTAACATATATCAATATTCTAGCCAATTTATAAAGTGAAGAATTGTAAATAATTGAATAATTGTTTTGTAACGGGTCCAGTGTTGACAAAAAATAGCATGGGTTGGAAGATAAAATTTAGTTTCTCTTCCTGTAGGAGGTAGGGATTTTTTTTTTCTTTAGAGAATTTTTTTTTTTAAATGTCAGACTCAAGAACACAACTAATTCTGTTTGATAGTCTAGCAGAACAATAAGAATAGGGCCCGGGAGAATTGTTGAAGTTAATTCAATCCTGATGTCCATTTGCATTATACCAATGTAAATTAACGTTAATATCCTATTCTTTTACCCTGATTTTTCTGATGGTTTCTCCAAGCACCCTGAGAATATTTTGGATTCCCTTCAGTTTTCCATTGAAAACATTTGTTTTATGCTGGGGGCACTAGTAGAAAGACTACATTTAGGAGTCTGAGTAGTTCGAAAATAAGGTTATTTACAAAACCTTTCTGGTTTTTTCCTCTTGCTGGGATGCTTGATAGGCCTACCAGAAAATCTTTGATCACAAAGGATATAACTTGAGGGTTGATTCCCATATATATGTCAGGTAAAGATTGCTATGATAATAATAATAATAATAATAATAATAATAATAATAATAATAATAACAATAATAATAATAATAATGTGACCTAAGCTTATGTAGAAGTAAAGGTAAATCATATGTTCTATTTTCATAGCACTCTCTGTTCTTTTGGGGGGTGGTTTTTTCTGATTTTTGGCAGAGTATGGAGGGTAGATGTGTGCTCTTTTTAAAAATTTTTGTTTTCATTGAGGTAAATATACATAACATAAAATTTACTGGTTTTTTTATTGTGGCAAAATATACATGACATAAAATTTACCATTTTAAGTGTTCAATTCAGTGGCATTAAGTTTATTCATAATATTATAATAGTGCAACCATCACCACTATCCATCTCCAGAACTTTTCATCATCCCAAACAGAAACTCTACCCATTAGACAATCACTCCCTGTTTGCACCCCACCTCCCTACCAGCCCCTGGTAACCACTATTATACTTTATTTATTTTGTCTCTATGAATTTGCCTATTGTAGGTATCTCATATAAGTGGAATCATACGATATGTCTTTTTGCATCTGGCTCCTTTCACTTAGCATACTGTTTTTAAGGTTCATTCGTGTGTAGCATGCATCAGAATTTTGTTCCTTTTTAAGCCTGAACAATATTCCATTGTATGTACACACCTTGCTTTGTTTATCCATTTATTTGTTGGTGGCCATTTGAATTGTTTCCACTTTTTAGCTATTATGAATAATGCTTCAATGAACGTTGGTATACAAGTGTCTGAGTCCCTGCTTTCAATTCTCTGAGATTCATACTGAGAAGTGGAATTTCTGCATCTATGTTTAATTTTTTGAGCAACCACCATACTGTGTTCCCCAGCAGCTGCACTAGTTTACATTTTCACCAGAAACGCACTATGTATGGTCTTTTTTTATTTTTTATTTTTTTTAGTTTTTATTGAAACATAATTGATTGTACATATCTGTAGGGTAGTGTTGAATATCAATACCTGTGTCATTTCCGTAGCACTTTCAAATGAATTCCTCTTTCATGGCAGCTCTTATGCTGCCTCAGTAAACTCCAACATTCATTCATTGCCACCTGAGCTCAAGTTGCCTATGATAGCTTCTTACACTGTGGCCACAACCCTTAATGCCCTGCTGCATGGCTTGCAAAGTAGCTGTTCAATCCCTTGTCTCCAGCTATACCTGTGTTGATGAGGAATTCCTTAAAAGACTCCCCACTTCTCTCCATCTACTCAAAACACACCTTGCTCCTTCCTAAGCTGTTATACATCCACAAATACTTTTAAAATATCATAATTTTAAAGGCTTTAATCATCACAACACCCCTGTTCTCCCCATATTTATCCTGGAGATGGAGAAG